AAGGCAAAATGTTAGGTGCTGGCGAAACGTTAGGAAACAAAACTTCCAGAACACGGCCACACAGCCCGGAAGACCCACACCAGCCACCGTATGCCGGCTGTGAAAGCCTTCAACAATACACAGTAACCAGTGTTGCTTGTGAACTGTTTATAATGAGATGTGCCCATAACTACTTGTATCATTGCATTCTGGAATAGCTGGAATATTTTGAATAGTCTCCAAGGGCATCCCTGTTGCCCGCTGCAATTATCCAAATGCAAGGGGATTAAAGCGTGTAAGAATGGCACATCAGATATATAAGACAAATCTGTACAAAGGTGCTGCTGGCTATAACAGCCACCTGTTCTTTGAGTAAGAGTTGTGACTCCAGGAGGATCCCCAAGCTGCATACCTGTTCTGTCTGGAGAAGTGTAACTCCATTCAGAACTAAAGTTGGAAAATCTCTGGAAGCAGATGCTCTATAAATCCTTGGCTCTCCATGGCCACTTGGAGATGAGTCTAAGCCTAGTCCTCTCTATCCAGACCCCAACAACCTTCACACACCGCAACAGAACCTTGAAAGAATCAGTAGGTTGGCTTGGGGTCAAGGTACACAATGTTCTGTATACCGATGATACCCGAGTCCATGCTGTCAGTTAACGTCATTCAACAGCTTCACAAAATGTGCAAATCCAGTAAAGAAAAAGTTTCACTGATGTTTTAATTTAAAGATAAATACCGAACTGAGATCTTTGTATCTTGTTTCAAGTGACAATCAAGAGACATCTTCTCAGTTATACCTGTCTAGAACACAATGATCAAAATGTGATGTGATAGCATGCAAATGCTATTAATGGGCAACATTTGGTTTCTGGGATCATGGTTTGAGATATCTAGATTATTATGGACTGTCGGCATAAGTTGGTTTGCATCTCACAATGAGGGATTGGAAACAAAAATCCTCAAATAAGGACCACATATAAAGAGTTGTGCACTATAAAGTAGGAATGCTGCTACAATCTTCCTGTCAGTTACCACCTAGCCAGTTCCAGCCCTCACAGTCACTGATTGAAAAAACAGTTATTGTGATAGGCTGCATCAACAGAAGTATAGTTGACAAATCTTAGAAGCAATTTAGTGGTGCACTGACATGCTGCATCTCCAATATTGTATCCAATTTGGGGTACTACATTCAGACAAATTGGAACAGATTCAGAGGAAACCAGTGTAGTGAACATTAGAATAGCAACAAAGTTCTATAAAGCAAAATGGAAGGAGTTGGACATGTTCAGCCTTGAGAACAGAAGACTGATGGGTAATATGATAACATTGTTCAAATACCTGAAAGGATGTCACACAAAGGTCAAGACTTCTACTGTCCCAGAGTTCATAACTGCAATTTTTTAACTGGTTAATAAGCATGAAGAACTGAAATGAAATAAAAGATTCAGATCTCTTGCCCCTGAAATGATGATGCATTTCAAGAGGAAAATAGATAGCAGTTGGCACAACAATGTGAACTGGGTTGGACCTGCAGCATACTCAATTAAAAAAGAAAACAACAAAGAAATTCCCTTTAATATTAATCACTGCAATGGTGTGTAATTACAGCCCAATTCTTGTCATTGTTTTATGTGGAAATGAGCTAGATTAAGTTCAGCTGGAACCTTCCACTAGTCACAATTCAGAAGCTTCCAGCTCAGACTATTAAAAAGGAAAAGGAGAACATTGTTTCTTTGTTCTACAGAGAAGTAAATATGTAGGTACAGATGTAAATATATACAACTTGAAATAACTGTTATTATTGTGTGTATGATGAACGAGGGTAAAACAGCAACAAGAACTTCTGCAAGAAAGTGTAAGATCATATCCAGGTGGATAGAATCCTTAGAAATTAAAAGCACCATGTTTAGAATAACAAAGGTGGGCAATTACATTTTCAGGCTCTCTAACACATATCATGTTAACCCACCATATAGCTCAAGGAACTGTGAGGAAGCCAGGCTGATACCACCTAGTAACTGAGTCAGGCAGCAAGGGCAGGGGTGGTAGGGAGAAGAAGCTTGCCACTGTCTATTCCCTTTGCTTCCAGCCAAGGCTTCCAAGCAAAAGGCAGACCTGAGAATTCTAGCTCCTTCTCTTTCTCATCATTAATAATCAGATGCTGGTGTCGCTCCAAGAATGCACAAGGCTTATAAAATACTCTGAGGAAAGACCGGTTCTTTCAGTATTGTTCACCAAGGGCTGGAGAAAGTCACTCTTCGAATAAAGGAACATTTTGAGGTAGTGCTTTATGGCGCCACATCTGGAAGTCACGACAAACAATGACACGTCTTCGTAAAAGGTCCCCAGCTCCTCCTTAACTTCTGTTTGCTCTGCTGGGTTATTTCACACTAAGCATTAGGAATTAATTTCGAACACTTGGGTTGCAACAATTCTGTGTACAGCTCATAAACACTAGTGAGACTGAAGATAGCATAAAGCACAAATAGCAAAAAAGAAAAAGAAAAAAGAAAAAGAAAAAAGAAAAGAAAAGAAAAAAGAAAAGAAAAGAAAAGAAAAGAAAAAAGAAAAGAAAAG